TGAGTATGCATATATTTGAATAATCAGTATTATTTACATCTCTAATCTATTAATTTACGTTACGCTATTTATTAGAAAAACTTGGATCACAGGAAGTTAAAAGATATATTTATTAAATTGAGATGTTTTATTGTTTAATATATATTATATTTCATAATTTTTAGTATCTACTTTTAGGAGAGAAAAGATTGTTCATCATTTTCTGGATGGGAGACTCATATTTTGGGCATACGACAAGAAATGGTTGTCTGCTTTTTCAAAGCTTGAATTACGTTTGAGACAACCTCGCTGATTGGTTAATAAATGATCATGTGTAAATTTGAATTTGACGTTCGTGTGATCCTACTTTTGAACAGAACTGAGACCTTAGTGATGCTACTTAAATCTATCGAATTTTTTCAAGAATTTTTCAATGGGCTCTCTCTCTCTCTCTCTCTCTCTCTATATATATATATATATATATATATATATATATATATATATATAAAATCGATGTCTTTGTTCAAATATTATCCTGAGTAGAGACGCTTGTATTGATTGCTGTGTTATTTGATATATTAGAAATAAGACTTAAGTAAAGATCAACCTGTCTGTGATCGATAAGCAGCAATTTTAGATTTCGAGACAGAATCTACCGTAGATACAATTGTCAATAGTATTTAGCTTATAATCTAGAGAGAATCAATCAATTAGCCTTGAGCGACAACACCAAGCAGAACATGAACGTTACAAGTTGGCATTTTGATATCCCAAACGTAATTGTGTTTAAAATCAAATCGCCACTGCCTTCAGTCAAGCTGGTAGCATAATTTTTACTGTGTGTGTTCTGTGGAAGTAACCTAATAACTTTGATGGTTTTTCCCTTTTACAGCAAATATGGAGGAGAATATACACTACCATGCCAGAAGTCACGGTAGTGCAGCAGGAAGTTGGATGACCTCTGGAAAGACGTTGGGCCACACATTCTCGAGAGCTCTCTTATGAGAGACGCAGATGTAGTTTACCGTCCTACCCCGAACGCGGATGTAGTTTATTGTCATACCCAGGACGGCACATGACTTTTGTTACGTTAGTGTACATAAACTGCTGGCCAAAATCTTAAGACGAAAGAAAATACAGAATAAAGATACCTTTTGCGTTGTTAGACACAACCACTTATTTGAGTATAGCTCCAAAAAATGAGAATAAGAAAATAAAAGTAAAAAAACGTTCTTTATCATTTAACACGGAAAATTTGAATACTTGGAAATTAGGTAAAATACTAGCTAATCCAAAGTTTAAAGCCATATTTAAACAAAGCTTTAATTGATAAACACGTGAGGACATTTAGTCATTTCTGTTCAAGTACCTCCTGGTACCTCGTCCGTTACGCGCTAGGTAAAAACTACAAAGTTAACGTGGTGAAATTGTCGAGCTGCATATATATATATATATATATATATTCATGAATTATTCACACAAAAAACAAATGCAAAGGTTAATGAGTTAATTGGCGAGAAATCCATCGTCGCAAACAATTCAAATAATATACAAAAACCTCCGAATCCGTTATGAATGAAATGATCCTTGTTTCTATAAATTTCTGCCGTATTAGTTCTTATTTTTACTACAAGCTTTCGTCTGTTCCTACAGACATCTTCAGGTATGGAATAGATGTTGTTCTTGTTTTTTCTCTTAGTAATAAGAGGACAAAGAAAATATATGTATTGTTGTATCCGAAAATGCTATTGGAAATGAGTTATTGTTTTTGGAGCGCGCAGTAGCAACGCTGAGTTTGATTTTAAATTTTTTACAGTTGTGCATTCATGTACAAATATGGTGATATACGAATTTTTTACTGGTAAATTTTCTGTCAAAGTGGCATGAACTATATTGTTCAATAATTACAGTAATGTCGCACTTATTATCCAAAAGTCGCACTTGGATCAGTTATTTTAATTACAATAAACGTGCAATCAATTTACAAATTCATGAATTATTCACGCAAAAAACAAATGCAAAGGTTAATGATTTAATTGGCGAGAAATCCATCGTCGCAAACAATTCAAATAATATACAAAAACCTCCGAATCCGTTATGAATGAAATGATCATTGTTTCTATAAATTTCTGCCGTATTAGTTCTTATATTTACTACAAGCATTCGTCTGTTCCTACAGACATCTTCAGGTATGGAATAGATGTTGTTCTTGTTTTTTCTCTTAGTAATAAGAGGACAAAGAAAATATATGTATTGTTGTATCCGAAAATGCTATTGGAAATGAGTTATTGTTTTTGGAGCGCGCAGTAGCAACGCTGAGTTTGATTTTAAATTTTTTACAGTTGTGCATTCATGTACAAATATGGTGATATACGAATTTTTTACTGGTAAATTTTCTGTCAAAGTGGCATGAACTATATTGTTCAATAATTACAGTAATGTCGCACTTATTATCCAAAAGTCGCACTTGGATCAGTTATTTTAATTACAATAAACGTGCAATCAATTTACAAATTCATGAATTATTCACACAAAAAACAAATGCAAAGGTTAATGATTTAATTGGCGAGAAATCCATCGTCGCAAACAATGCAAATAATATACAAAAACCTCCGAATCCGTAATGAATGAAATGATCCTTGTTTCTATAAATTTCTGCCGTATATGAAAGAAATTCGAGAGACAAAATAATATTGAAAATATAACTAATAATATTTATTGTATATTAGTAGGTATTTTGACCAAACAGAAACATGATGAGAATGATCTAACAATTGTAATTTTAGACATAGACGATATTCAGTCACCCCCCCCCACGAGGGTGTCATGTGGCACAAGGCCTTTTTAACGTGGGCATTCCTAGCCCGTGGGCTCGGCCAAAGAATAAAACAGATATATTACAAACAGGAATATATACAGAGAAGTAGAAGTGTTAGTATGAACAATCAGGTTTAGTAGGGAGAACAATGTAGTCTCGACCAGTATCACTATTCCAATGTCTTGCAGTAATTGTCTGAAGGCGACTCTGATTAGGACTGCCTCTGACTCGACTCTTGACTTTTGAACTACTGACGATATTCAGTCACCACCCCACGAGGGCGTCATGTGGCACAAGGCCGGTTTAACATGGGATCTCTGACCCCGTGGGCTCGGCCGAAAATATGCCCATTGAAGCCGTATAAACGGGTTCAGGGCCGGTTTTACCTCCCCGAAGGAGACTCTGCCCTTCGGCGTAGCCTCCTTCGGGTTCCTCCCGTCCGTAGGAAGAGAATACAAACGAACAGTCGCTCAGAAAGTACTGACTCGACTGGCTTTAGACATAGACGTGGTTCTATTGACAAATTCCGAGAATATAATGGACAGAGCATATGTGCAAGGATGAAGTTTTAATGAAAATAAGATCTGCAAGAAAACTGTTGCTAAAAGCTAGAAAGAGATGGCTGACATTTCTTGGACGCCTAACAAGGAAAGACTATTTTATCACTCTCAGAAAGCAAGAGAAGCAAGGAGAAGCATCGTTTCACGTACATGATGTCTGAACGTCTCGATGACTGAATAAGCTACAATGACAAAGAGAGATAGTAAAGGGGGGAGAGTTTGGGAAAGAAAAGAAGGAAATTGTGGCGAGCCATGATCACCTACTTCCCGAAGGTACAGATCGTAATCCTTTCACTTGCCTGCAAGGCGATAAAGCAACTCGGACTTAAGGAAGACGCAAGGAAAAGAATGAGAAAACTTTTGTTGAAGAGAAAGGACAATAAAAGAAAAGGTCTCAGGAAGATAAAAATGGCGATTGACATTGCATTTAAATTTTTGAAGATTGTAGATTGCAGGAAAGCACGAAATCAGAAGAGAAATCCTGAGGTTAGAAGTTCGAGAAAATAAACTATTAGAAGAGAACTTACGGCTACATCTAGCTATAGCAACAGTAGAATGATGAGACCTAGCTACCAATCTAGTATTACGTTTAAATTCACGCAATCGAGATAACAAGGATGAGAGCTCTTTAGAACACCTACCATGAAAATATTTATAGAAAAGTCAGAAGGAAGCCACGTCAGGGCGGTGGGAAAGTGACTGAAGTGGAAATGAAAGGTTATTATTACATACCCTTCTTGGATTTTGTCAAGAATCTCAAGGACATTCACTCCTTCAGCAAGGACACAGAACCTTATCAACTTCTAACACTGAGATTTTCATTAGCAGAAAAACACTTTTCTTTGAAAGCCTTAACCAATTCGAATTAACAGTTAATGGTAAATAACTGTTATATTTAAACATCGAACTTTCAAAATAGAAAATGCTACAAATTGTTTAATTTAAACAGATTTAGTGATTATAGATTCTATATCGCTTTCAAGCATCAACATAAATTCTGAAACTCAGTATAAATTCACTGAGTCATTTAATCACACATCTTTGTATATTATTGCAATAAAATGCTTTCCTGTTGAATGTTATTCATCTTGTTTCATATTTTGTGGTATTTTGCGTTAATATAAATTAGTCAGGTCACCCCTACAGACTGGTGACCGCTACACATTCAAATACAGTCCTGTTTCGTCTTGTTAACAATTATTAATTTTGAAGTATCAGTAAGAGAAAAAAAGGGTGTTGCCTTTAAAAAAACAATGAATCATAGCTTTCTTTTCGGTACATTTATTTCTCTTTAAGTTTTATCCATTATGTTGCGTCTATAACTATTTATGTGAAAGAGTAAATGAAGTTAATATTTGTTTTCATAAGACAAAAAGAAAGCTGCGGCTGGTGTTTGTCGCTGTTTCGGGCTTTATGTCGACTGAAAGAGCAAGTGTCATGACTGATGAACTTGCATGAAAAACTAAGCGATTAGACAAATAAACCTAACAACAATGAGGGAGTATTTATACAGCCTAGCGACAACAGATGCATGTTTGTATAGCAATAGATAGACATCATTGTTGTTGGGTTGAAAAAAAAACACTACTTATTTTGTTTACATCTTTGCGACATCAATTACGAGTTTTGAAATAAACAATAAGTTTCACATTATTCATCTACAAAATTATCTATCTCTTTTTCTTTCTTTCTCTCTCTCTCTCCCTCTCTCTCTGTCTCTCTCTGTCTGTCTCTCTCTCTGTCTCTCTCTCTCTCTCTACATATATATATATATATATATAACTATGTAAAGAATTAATAAATTCGTATTTTTAATATGTTTATATTATTTCAAACGTTTAATTTTAGTGGACGCCCATATTTGCATAGACGCCCAGTTTTTTATTAATTTATATTTGGACTATTATCCTCATCTTTTTTGTTGTTATAACAACATTTCGGTCGTTATGCTCACCGACCTTCCCCAGATTTATATAACTCTACAGGGAATTCTGAACTGTTTATTTAATCTACGGGGTGTAGACTGTTCTTGATTCACAACGAAGGAAAACGAAAACAATAGATGGGTATACATCTGAAGAAGGCCGGATAGCACAACGGCCGAAACATTGTGATGACAGCAACTAAGATAAGGACATTAATCTGAATATAAACATTGCCAATAATAACTACTACTCATCCCAGAAATGCTATATATATATATATATATATATATATATATATATATATATATATGAAGAAATATAGTCTTAAGATGTGCAATATTTATGGGATAAAGTGCTCAATATCAGAGATAGAGCGTGTCTGAATATAAAAGTGAACATAGAAGTCAACACTTAGAAGCGACAGTCTGTTTCATGCTAGACGTAATCGTCAAGCCTGACGATTGTCTGACGATTGCATCTAGCATGAAACAGACTCTCGCCTCTAAGTGTTGACTTCTATGTTCACACACACACACACACACACACACACACATATATATATATATATATATATATATATATATATATATATATATATGGTAAAATATAGTTTTACGGCATGCTATATTAAATGGGTTAAAGTGTTCAATATCATGGATAGAGCGTATGTAAATATAAAAGTGGACGTTGTCTTCCAAACCCAGCGGAGACAGTCTGGTTCATGCTTAAACGCAATCGTCAGGCCCTATCTGATATGTTACACAACGCATATGACCTGAAGATTGTGTATCGATTGTGTAAGGAATGTAACTTTTTTAGAAAATATGCCAAATATTCACAAATAATTCGTTCCTTTGAAAATCTGTTAAGGCTGGACAGTTTTGTTGACTTCAATGTCCACGTATATATATATATATATATATATATATATATATATATATATATATATATATATATATCCCAAGTCCAGATGTGTTATGAATAGCTTTCACCATTTTCTGTATTTCTGCAAAACTACACACCCTCTCGTCTGACCCTGTGACCATCAATCAAACAACATCGAAGTCGCTTTTTTGCCTAGCGAGACACGCTATCAATACATAAATAAAATACTTTATGTATGCTTGCTTATGATTAAAACCAAAAACCAACGCAAATTTCGATTAATTGATCAGGCAACATTTAGTCGATCGTTGGCCAATATTACAGTCGCGATGTCCTTAAAGTTCTTTTTAGAATTACGATATTGGAATCAGTTTGCTTTTTCTACTGACTGAACTGAAACTTCTTGAAGATTTCAATATAATCATACTCTTTCAATATAATACAGGAAGTATTATGAACGTCGGGAATGCGGGAAATATGATATATTTTTACGATAATGTTGACCTTGGACACGGCCCAAGAGCCACTCGAGATAGAGACTTACAGAATAAGATGTAAAGATAGAAGGGAACACAATAAAAAAAAAACTTTGAATATAATTATGCATCAAAAGAAGCGCTGAAGAGGCTGGGTCACCTCACTTTTGGATTTAAAGCTTTAAATTTTAAAATTAGCATCCCTAATTATTCAGAGTTTTTTTCCCCCGATGTATACTTTTAATTGGCATTTGTTATTCCTCTTCTTTTAACTGCATATATATGATTCCATCAAGAAAGGACGAAACGCGTAACGTAGGATTTGTTTTTCATTTTGCCATTCAATTATCAAAACACCGCTGTTTTTTTTTCTTTAGTTCCGAATGCAAAAAAGGCCAAAGGACACTCAAGGTAGAGAGGTACTGATTGAGATTGTTGTAAGAAAGTAACAAGAAGGCAGTGCATATTAGGTGGTTATTTAGGACAGAAATCGGTAGTGGTCAGTAAAGCATCTCTCGGGTGATAGTTCAACAAAGTTACAGTTCTGGGGAAGAAGCTGTCAAAGTGGAAATTATTGCCTACAAAGGAATGGGAATTATTTTCCATTGTGAACATGACATGTCCTAGCTGTGAAGGTTTCAGCTGGTGGAAATAACGAAGGTAACTAGTTAGAAAATACCCATAATAATAGCGATAGATTAACGATAGGCTCGCTATGTTTCTTTTTTTTTTCTGCAGAACAGGCGTTGTAGATTGGAAAATAATTCATCAGCCCCCCCCCCCAAAGAGACGTCGTCGCTTTGAAAATCTGGGAAGGCTGTGAGACCGATTCCAGATATGGCAGTAATACTCCAATCCTGGTCTGACACTTGCCGGAGGTATTAGCAAAACAAAAATTTTAAAAATAATTAAAAAATATTAATTTCATTATTAAGATTGGATTATTCATTTATTTTTTTTAAGCATTTCACCCTAAGCAAAGCGGAAGTGCTACTAATACGCAGGGGGTTACAGAGAGTGAAAGTGATGGGAAAATTGTGTATAGGAAGGTGTTATGGTCCGGTTCCTTGTACCACGGTGATAGTCCAAGGTAGAACCAATAAAGAAGAACTCGAACACAGGTATGGAATAAAACAGATATATTACAAACAGGAATATATACAGAGAAGCAGAAGTGTTAGTATGAACAATCAGGTTTAGTAGGGAGAACAATGTAGTCTCGACCAGTATCACTATTCCAATGTCTTGCAGTAATTGTCTGAAGGCGACTCTGATTAGGACTGCCTCTGACTCGACTCTTGACTTGACTTGAACTACTGACGATATTCAGTCACCACCCCACGAGGGCGTCATGTGGCACAAGGCCGGTTTAACATGGGATCTCCGAGCCCGTGGGCTCGGCCGAAAATATGCCCATTGAAGCCGTATAAACGGGTTCAGGGCCGGTTTTACCTCCCCGAAGGAGACTCCGCCCTTCGGCGTAGCCTCCTTCGGGTTCCTCTCGCCCGAAAGCAGAGAGTTAAACCGAACCGTTCACTCAGAAAGTGAGCGGCGGACTCCTTGCCTACTCCTGAGGCGCAGTATTTATGAAGTATGGAATAGTCCATTATTATTATTATGGGTAAGATCCCATAACAGAAGGATAAAAGACGAACGGGGATGAAGGCAACAGAAGAGGGCGATTGACTTTGCATATAAATTATTGAAGATTGAAGTTATAAGGGAAGTTAGTAAATGAAAAGGAGTTCCACAGGCAGGAAGTGCGAGAAAAGAAACCGCTGGAGTAGAAGTAGCAGTTGCATTTAGCAGTTTCATCAGTGAAAGGGTGGGACCTAGATGCCAATCTAGTAGCATGCTTAAATTCATGTAGTCGGGGCATCTGGGAAGATAGCTCGTCAGATCAGTTGCCATGAAAATAGTTGTAGAAAAGACAGAGGGAAACAGCATCACGTCTGGGAGAAAGTGACTGAAGTCGAGATGTCAAATCAGGATCGATTACATTGCAGATTCTTCTTTGGATTTTGTTGAGAACCTCGAGATGAACAGCAGGGGTGCCAGACCAGATATGGCAACAATATTCAATGCATGGACGAATGGTAGATTTGTAAATGTGCAAGATGGACTCTGACGAGAGAAAAAAACAAAAAAACTTCCTTTCCTGCTCTGTTTCATCCAAAATTCATTTGTGGATGAAACAGAGCTTGATACTTTGATTCAATTTCATTTTAATAATTATATTGAAGTTTTTAGCTCCTGTTTTTGAAACATGAGAACTCTTATGTAGCGAAGGAATCATATTTTTTAAAAATAATTATAATTTAGGCACTACTTTTGTATTGAGCACTGTTTTTTAAAAATAAAAACAAAAATATTAAAGAACTTCGGATTATTTACCTAACGTGTTCTTTCCTATTTTACTATATATTTGCACACACACACACACACACACACACACACACACACACACACACACACACACACATATATATATATATGAATTAATTAAATAATTAAGAAAGTGATAACCTAATGGTTCTATGACTATAATTTATTTCTCCGGAAAATATATATTTTTCCTGGTTCATCAGAGACGTGACCTGATGAACGAGGAAAATTATATTTTCTGTGGAAATAAATTATAGTCATGGAACAATAAGGTTGTCTCTTTCTTAATTATTTATCTAATATTTTCTCTGTTGTGACATTGAACTTTCTGGATTACATCCTCTTTAAAATTATCCACACGGATTACCAAACCCTTTATTACCTTACTATATATATATATATATATATATATATTGTCACGTAGCCACGATTTCATTAACCATATAGGCGTTAGGCTAAAGTAAAATCTTAAATAAAGAGAAAATTAGTTAGATATAAAAGAAAAATAAATAAATAAATAAAAACAGAAATTTAATCCAATGCTCCCGACTCGCGAGCGAATATATTCTATGATCAGCCATATCCTTCTTTTCTCTTCACAAATTCTTTCTCTCTTTCTCTACTCTCCCACCCACGAGCCAAGGGCCCGTGAACTTTGAATTGACCCGACGCGAGAGTGACCTGGTTCCAAGATGTCGCAGCTATCAGGCGGCTGATCATAAGTGAATTCCAGGCACCATCAGGGTCTCCTGCTGCGATTCACGTGATCGGAACGTACTGAGCATGTGTTGAACTTTTGGCCATCACACAATCACTGCGTGATTTGCACCCTATCCTCCTGGGTACCCGGTCAAGGACGAAGGGAACCCACGTGACTGCCTTTGGGGACAGCGAAAACCAAAAAAAGGATTTTTCAGTTTCCCTCTGACCAGCGGCAGTTGAACGTCGCTGGGCAAAAATCGTCAGACCGCCCACTGAGATGAGGAAGACAGCAAAGTCCGTCGACTAGTGGTGGAAGGACTGCTAGGGAACTGATCGACCTAACCAAACGCCTGTATGAGATGCTGTG